AAATACATTCAAAAGAGGTCCCTCATTCACGATAACCAGATGCCCTTCTCCCCCAGGCCCCCAAACACTTCAAAGCCCACACATAGAGTCACACACACTCAGTGTGCCTCAACGATGCTAACAGATACACACTGACATAGAAATAAATACATATGGGGTGGAAATAAATCTGTTTACTCTTGATTGGAAGTCCAGAAACCTGAGTTATTTTCCAAACTTCGGTACTTAATTATATGACCTTATACTAGTGACACCCTCTACCCCAAATTAGTGTTTTTTAATGAAGAAGATAGACACAATAGCTTTATTTTATTTGTTTATTTATTTTTATGTGGTGCTGAGGATTGAACTCAGTGTTTCATGTGTACTAGCAAGTGCTCTGCTACTGAGTTACAACCCCAGCCCCAGGTATTAGTTTTAACATCCATTCTAAAGCTATTATGCTCAATGCAATAGCCATATCCACATGTGGCTATGCTACTGAGCACCTATTATAAAAGGCAGAAATTTTTATTTTATTATTTACCTTTAAGTTTCAATAACCACACATGGCTAGTGATACTACCATATGGTATAGCACAAAACATGTATGGAACATTGACTTAGATGATCTGTATCATCTCTTCTAGGTGGTCTGTGCTATTGTGTTCTACAGGATTCATCAAACTCACCCACTCCAAGTCTCAGAGTGTTCCTGCCTAACTAGAAATGATGATCCGGAATTGCTTTATACACATGGGGTAGGCCCTGGGACAGGAAGAAAAAAATTGGTGAGGGTCAAATTTCTACAGCCAGACTAATTATTTTATTGTCCTCAGTTTTCTATAAGCTGGTACCAAAAGATGAATTATGGCTTTCCCAGTCTCTGTGAGTGAGTATATTTATATGTATATAACTACCCTATGAGTATAGTAACACTCTTTATCCATCATCCTAAAGTACAATTAGTATTGACTTGAGGAACAATTTCAGTGCTGGAGAAAAAAGCTGACTCTTGATTTTGTGGTAAAATCAATACATCTTGAAATGGCCTCTTTCTCTCTGGACTAATTTCTCATCTGTAATATGAGACAGTTGGACTAGAACTATTTATTCAACAAACCAAACAAAGCAATGAGTTAATAGCTGAGGACACAATGAGAAATCAGACATGCCATGTCCTCAAGAATTAAATTTACTATAAAGTCTAAACAAGAAGATCTTTCAAGACCCCTCTCAGCTTTGAGTCAAAGTAAACTATGGGTCCTTTGGCTCATAGTTACTATGTAAATACTATATGGCTAAAATTCTTTAAGTTTCTACCCAAGTCTTACTTTATTAAGGCAGATTCCCCATCCAGCTACCTATTATCCCCCTTCTTCCTCAAAATTTCCTGTTTGGTCTTCTCCATCCCAATAAGTAATTAAGAACTGAAAGATTCTAGGAAAATGAAAAGACAATATGAGATGGCAGCAGAGAAGTATCTGTCTGTGCACTTCACCATTTCCTGAAATGATAGAAAATATGAGTATAGGTTCATAATGAAAATGGGGAGAGATAAAAATAAAGGGAGATAATAAATCTATGACCTATTATAGCAAATGTGGTATAATTGATGCAGCTGTACAAGGCAAAGACTCATTTTAAGATGGGTAGAATATAGCCTTTAAAGTCATTCAAGGACAAAGAACCAACCAGTTAAGGCAGGATAAAAGTAAAGGAGCACATACAAGTGACAGAGAGCACCCCCCTCTCTGCCACATATATAGTGGTGCCATCTTGACTCTCAAGGATCTACCTGCTTTCTCTTTCCTTCAGTTCATCAACTATGAATTGCCCTTCCACCATAATTCAAAAACAACTGTAACATTTCAATTGAAGAGGAAGTAATAATTACCCTCTGCCTCTTTTATAAACTTTCCTATAGATCTCTGGGGATCCAAACCCAGTTGAAGAAATATTAGTTAGAATGCCAGTTTGGTTAATAAAACTCCCATGACAGGTAAAGTTTAGTCTTGAATCCAAATTTTATCTTCACCTTTAATGTGGGTAGATGGTCTTTTTCCCCAACCTTCATCACTACTATAAAAATCAAGGATTCTATGAAAGGACATACAGATTTCAGGGGCCTTGGAGCCCAGGCTCTAGGCTGGCTATAAAGTAAGGTTGGTACCTAAAGAGGTAAAACTTGAGTAAATGATGTTTTCCCAAAGCAGGTAGTAGTCCAGAAGGCCGGACTTATATTTTACAAGTCCATGAAGCCATGTTTATAAAATGCTGAAACGAGAAGAAACTTTTTAGTTTGAGTCCATCCCCATTTATTGATTCTTGGTTTTAATTCTTGCACTATAGGAATCTTATTAATTAATTTGGGGCCTAATCCCACATGATGAAGATTAGGGCCTACTTTTTCTTCCAATAGATGCAGAGTCTCTGGTTTAATTCCTAGGTCCTTGATTCACTTTGAGTTGAGTTTTGTGCATGGTGAGAGATAGGGGTTTAATTTCATTTTGTTACATATGGATTTCCAGTTTTCCCAACACCATTTGTTGAAGAGGCTATCTTTTTGTCCAAAGCATGTTTTGGCGCCTTGCCTATTATAAGATAATTGTAGTTTTGTGGGTTAGTCTCGGTGTCCTCTATTCTGAACCATTGGTCTACCAATCTGTTTTGGTTCCAATACCATGCTGTTTTTGTTCCTATTGCTCTGTAGTATAGTTTAAGTTCTGGTATAGTGATGCCACCTACTTCACTTTTCTTGGTAAGGATTGCTTTATCTATTCTGGGTCTCTTATTTTTCCAAATGAATTTCATGATTGCTTTTTCCATTTCTATGGGAATGCCATTGGGATTTTGATCAGAATTGCATTGTCTGTATAGTGCCTTTGGTGGAGATTCCTTGGAAAACTTGGAATGGAACTACCATGTGACCCAGCTATTCCTCTCCTCAGTCTATACCCAAAGGACTTAAAACCAGCATACTACAGGGATGCAGCCACATCAATGTTTAGAGCAGCACAATTCACAAAAGCTAAACTGTAGAATCAACCTAGATGATAAAAAATGTGGCATATATACACAATTAAATATTACTCAGCAATAAAAGAGAACAAAATCATGGCATTTGCAGGTAAATGGATGGGAGTTAGAGAAGATAATGCTAAGTGAAGTCAGAAAATCCCCCCCAAAACAAATGCTGAATGTTTTCTCTGATATAATGTGTCTGACTCATAGTGGGGTAGGGAGGAGGAGCATGGGAGGAATAGACAAACTCTAGATAGGGCAGAGGGGTGGGAGGAGAAGATGGTTAGCAAAGATGGTGGAATGTGATGGACATCATTATCCAAAGTACATGTATGAAGACATGAATTGGTGTGAACATACTTTATATACAAACAGAGATATGAAAAATTGTGCTCTATATGTGCAATAAGAATTGTAATGTATTCTGCTGACATGTAGTTAAAAATTAAAATCGATTTAAAACTAACTAAATAAATATAGCTTAAAATGCTAAAATGAATATATTTAAGCTCACCCCCATATAGAACCTTCTTCTTCTTTTTTAATCTGATAATATTTTGTGATTTTTTTGGTCATACATGGCTGTAATTTGGATTTCTTTTTTTTAAACTCTTTTTAAAAATTATTTATTTTTCTAATTTGTTATACATGATGGCAGAATGCAATTCATTTCATATTACACATATAGAGCACAATTTTTCAAGTCACTGATTTACACAAAGTATTTTCACACCATTCATGTCATACATACATGTACTTAGGGTACTGATGTATAACTCATTCCACCATCATTCCTACCCCCTTGCCCCCTCCCTTCCCCTCCCTCCCCTTTGCCCTATCTAATGTTCCTCTATTCCTACCATGCCCCCCCATTGCCATTATGAGTCAGCACCCTCATATCAAAGAAAATATTCAACCTTTGGGTTTTTGCAATTGGCTTGCTTCACTTAGCATTATATTCTTCAACTTCAACCATTTACCTCAAATGTCATGATTTTATTCTCTTTTAAAACGGAGTAGTGTTCCATTGTGTATATATACCAAAATTTCCCTATCCATTCATCTATCGAAGGGCATCTGGGAATTGTGCTGCTACAAACATTGATATGGCTGTGTCCCTGTAGTATGCTGTTGTTAAGTTCTTTGGGTATAAACTGAGGAGTGGGATAGCTGGGTCAAATGGTGGTTCCATTCCAAGTTTAGAACCTTCTTAATGTAACTCAACATAATTCATGTAACAAACTTAAATCATAATCTTACCCATTCAGTTTGCAACATCAAGGTTCCACCCTGAACTCCAATCAAGATACTAGGTTGATACATCTCCACTCTCCAAAAGCCAGAATTAGCAGCCCACAGCTCCAATATCTCAGAGCTCAACCAAAGACCAAGAGCACTTATCTGGTCCCTAAATTCCTAACACAGAACCACTGACAGCAAGCCCAGTAATTCCAAACTATCTCAGTGGGATGAGAGAAACTACTTTTAATCCAATGGAGGCAATTTATTATTGTGAAGATTTTAGGAAACAGCTCAAACTAAGGTACTCAATTTTTCCAGAACATAAGACAGAAAGGGAATGGTTTTTCTGAATGTGGATAGAGCTCCAAGTGCCAAGTGTCATAAAGAAGGGAGTGGAGAGAGAGCAAGAGTGCACGCAACCGAGGAGATAAAATTTATCTTGCTTAAGATCAAGTTTCACGTAATGCCAGTTATATTAGCATATACTGATAGGATTATCTCACCTCGCCTACAAGTAGTCTAATCACCCTCCAGACATAAAAATGAGAGAGAACTGAACTAAGCAGAACACACTTACTTCTCCCTGCAGCTTCCCATCTCAGAGCAGCTGCATGATTTCCTGAGCATTTTATTGCTGGAGCTAGGAATAAAAGCTCATTTATATGTACAAACAACAATTCTCCAGTTTCTATTTTTCCTCCTTCTCTGATCATTCTCCTCCCCCAATTTGCATCAGAGAAGCCAAACTCTGGCATACTTTAAACAGTTTGAGAACTAATCTGAAAGAGGAAGAAGACTCTGTATATATTGGCTAGCAGATGTGCCCTGCCCCGCCCTCTCCCCTCTTGAAAATAGCAGCGATCCATCTCTGCAAAGAAGCTTGCCTAGAGAGCAAACACATATAAAAATCTCCAAGGTATCCTGATTTGCTCGGCAGCTCACCAATGAAGGTTAGCTCTCCAAGGGACTCTAGATACATTTATTGAAGACCTGGAGCCTGTTTCTGAGAGCCAATGCAAAAGGATCCTAAACTGTGAACCTTGAAGACAGCAGGTAAGATTTGATATTTCAACACTAGTTCCAAAAGAGTATGTAGTAAAATTCAGCTGATGACAGATTTTAGCAAATTACCTAGAGTTTTGGGATAACCAGTTTGCCCTGCCTGTTTTAAATTAAACTGCTAATATGAATTCTTTCTACTTAATTTCTTGGTCAGATATTTGATAATGTAATTAGTCTGTCATTGAGTATGGCTCACGGCTTCTGCTAGGGGTTTAATGTGATAAAATATGAAGCAGGCACTCCCCAAGCCTCTAGCACCTTTGTGATCAAGCCACATATGTAAAACTTATCTTTAAATCCTATTTAAAGGGCTCAGGGAAGTGTCTCTAATGTTGAGGCAGTTTCCTTCACTGTAGAAAGATAATACATAGTGATTGCTGAAGGTAAATCAAACAGTGAAGAGTAACCAGGCATTTTCATAAGGTATTTTCACACTCATTTTCTCACTTGGACCTCTCAACAAATCCTATAATTAAAATAGGGTTCATGCTGCTCTTGCTTTATCAGTTTGAAAAATGAGGAAAGAAACTGAAGGAGGTTAAGAAATTTTCTTGAAACATACCACACAACTAGAAACAGGCAAGGACTGACTAGAAATTGCAAAAAGAAAGTTCTCTCAACTGAAAACAAATATAAGAAAATTATATGACATATTTTGTAACTTAAAAGTATCTGATATAGACCAGGTTAATACAGAACCAAAAATTTATGCATTTTATAAAATCTGTGGAAAGGAGCAATTTTTCCTTAGCAGCAAAGAAGTTATTTTCAAGGGTGAACAAATAAATGAACTTGTGGGATCTACTTCTTTGAATTTAGTGGGGTTCTGACTTCCAGTTTTCTGAAATTGTTTTGAAATCTATAGAGAGGCCACACACATACATTTAGCAAATGATTATTTAAAAGGAAAATATAACTAAACATAGATTTCTTTGTATATTATTTTCAATATAATTATATTTTTTAGAATATAGTATAGAATATAATGAATGGCATTGTATTTTAAACATATTAGTTAAATGTGTTTCCAGACAATTTTAAGCTTACCATATCTATTGCAACAAGTTTTTTTAAAATATATTTAGTTATACATGGACCAAATATCTTTATTTTGTTTATTTAATTTTATATGGTGCTGAGGATCAAACCCAGGGTCTCACAAGTGTGAAGTGAGTGCTCTACCAATGAGCCACAACCCCAGCCCTATTGCAACAAGTTTTAATCATTCAAAAATATTTTTTCTGTCATTGTTTTATTATTAATAACCCAATTAATACTAAAAACTACCTATGTCTATACAGTAAATAACCACAAATGTTATATTTAATTCCATCTCTTTAACAAAAAAAAAAAGTGCTCCTCAGCTTCCCTAAATATAGACTAGGACAGCCAAACACTTCCTGCAAATAAAGTAAGTCAGCCTGGGAACCAGTGAGCCCATACAAAATGGTAGGTTAAGGAAAGTTTGCAGATTGAGCCAAGGCTGAAACTCACATATCAATGTCTTCCCAATCCAGAATCATCAATTTTTACTTTTCACTACCTTCTCCCTCTTGTCTTTAATCAAAATTTCAAGGCATTTATGAGCTATTTATCTGGGATAAAAGCAAGATTCTTCCATGGTTCAGAAAATTGTAAATTTGCAGTTGCAGTGTTATTAACCAATGAGGGATTCTAAAGGGAAAGCACTGATTCTTAAGGTACATAGTCGACCTTGTAGGTTTGATACTAAGAAGAATAACTATCCAATCTAGCAATTAGCATAACTCTGTGTGAACTTCTATTTTGATTCATTTTGATATTTCTCAAGTTCTTATTGAACATCATTTTTCTGAAGTTTGATGTAGTCCAGTTAAACAAGTGTTGATCAAGCTCAATACAATTAGTGGCATAAAGTAAATTATAAGACATGGTTCCTGCCCTTGGGGAACTTAAAGTGTTTGTAGGACCTATAAAAGATAAAAATAGAAAAGAGTAAACCAATGTCATTTTAATGGCAAAGGAGTTCAGAGAAGAAGATAGTTTGCATAGAGAAGGCTTCAGAGAGGAAACAAAAATAAGATAGTCCTAAAAGAATATGTAGGATTTGGAACCATGGTGTGAAAATCTTCTGTGTACATTGTATGTGGCCAAAATAGGTTGTTCAAATTCAATGCTAATCACAGAAATGATGTCAGAAATAAACTGTGCCAAGATGAGTTTAACAGAGAAAGACATGGTAGAAGGACCTGTAATCCCAGAAACATGGAAGGCTGAAACAGGAGGATCACAAATTTAAGGCCAGCCCAGAGAACTTAGTAAGACACTGTCTCACAGATCTACAAGAATATAATAAGGGCTAGGGAAGTAGCTCAGTGATGGAGCAACTTTTATTTGAATACCCAGGACCAGGATAGAGCATAGACCAAAGAACCTGATCTGGACTGAGTAAAGAGATTTGGGTTAGAGAATAACAGAAAATAAATTTGAATAGAAATTTATGGGTGAATTATTAGATACTGAATCTCCAGCACTTTCTAATGGGAAATTATCAGTAAACTTTGAATATATAAAGACTTATTAGAAAAATATTGTGAGTAAATGAATACAGCAGAATTTCATCAGTTTCACTATATTTGGTGAAAACTAGAAAATAAACTTAGAAGTTAATGAGGCTCTGGGTTATATTGGTGACAGTGGCAATGGAATGAGAGGGACTCAAGAGGCATTTAAAAGGAAAAATAAATGAAAGTTGATGAGTGAGTACATGCAATCATCATAGGAGAGGAATACATCAGATATTGCATTCAGATATGTCTAAAGTTTTAAGCCTGTGGAATCTGGGCAGTGGTATCACTGCTATTCACAGAAATAGGTAACTTGGGGATAGAAGCAGGAATGCAGGACATGATGAGTTCTGGGTTTGATCTATTGAGTTTGAGGCGATAAAAAGAATTCAAGGAGAAATATCTGATGGGTGATGAGAAAAATAAAGGCCCTAAATATGAGAGATGGATAAAAAATGGAGGTAAAGTTAAATCTGGAGAATGTGGTAGCCAAGACTATAAAATAAATCAAAATTTGTTTAGAGAAAACATATCAAAGAGATGACCATGGACATAAATGGACAGTGTCTACCTCTTCAGAAAAGAGAAAGTGGACCTATAGAAATAAGAACTACAGAAATATAATTCTTATTTTCCTCCAAAAATGCCAAGAGTCTTGAGGGAAGGTACCAGGTTATTTATTTATTTATTTTTTAATTTCCCCCACCCAACAATAACTATCATGGTGCCTCATACACACCATAGTCCCCAAATAAATGTTGAGTTATTCTAACATAAGCAATATTGGGAATTTTTGCTTCAAGGTATCTCATAGCTTAACAGTGGTTATTCTAAACTATCTTGTTGCACAGGTCTCAGTGGGAAGGATTCTGGGCCTGGAGAACTGGGATTTCATCCTCACTTTGATATTTAATCAGCTGTGTGCTTTCTAACAAGTTACTTAACATCTCTATTTTTTAATTTCCTCATGCATCAAATGGGTATTTTCCAAATCTATTAAAGTGATAAATATGAAAGTAACTGAAAATTCACACCATTCAAAGGGTTTTGTTTAAATTCCATCCATTCCAGGATGATAAAAACACACAACATAACCAACCACTCCATTGCATGTCGACGGAGTAGGGACAGTTACTTTCTACACCTTATATGACACCTCTTGGTCAGGGGCTTCACTCTTTGTCTTAGCAGTCTCCTCCTACTCCTGGTCCTATTAATAGGATCCAGCCTTCTGGTTGCCGTTAGCCCTGCAAAAATTCTGCACATTTCAATGTGAAGAAAATATTCTAGTATTTAAGAAGTATTTCTGTAAACACATTATCTTTTTTTCATTAGCTATTACTTCCATGAAGCCCATTGATTCTTAAGATTAAAAGCTAAGGATAAAAATAATGTTGTACAACACATTATGAATGCAATGTAATAT